CCATTTTCCAATCAAACGCTCCATTTTGTTATTAAAGTCTGACATTGGTAATTACATTTGTCAGCGTTTTAACTTGTTTAATTTTATCTGAACTTGTTATTTATTTGCCTATCCATCAATTTTCTTCTCTTAGAGTAGATCTTCTTCTGTGTGACGTTTCCCTTCAAGAGGTTGGCAATCATGGCTCTCCACAATTTTCTGTTCTTTGTAACTCTTTAAAGATTTGTCTTTTTCTTATCTCGCCTAGACTGTGTTCCGCCATCCATTTATTCGTGTTTGAAATAGACGCGCCATTATTATATTTAATAGTGTGTATTACGACTATCGGCCTGCGCACACGAAAAATCATTAAAAAAAAATTAAAATTTCCTTTATACTAAGAGTTTTTTTTCTTTCCATGTCGACTCTTAGTATAAAGGAAATTTACATTAACCAAAAAGAGGCTTCCGCAGAAGCGTCAATGTTTTTTTAAATTTGGATTTTGTAATCTAACTATAATAACAAAAAAAACATTTCGATTTCCTTTTTGCTTCGGCAAAAAACAAAGGTATTTTTCCAATTGTCATTATATATATATATATATATATATATATATATATATATATATAATAAAATTAATGGTCAGGGAGGTAAATTAGACCAGGAATAAGTGGTATTAAAAGTGCACAATACAGATATAAAAGATTCCGCTACCTTGGTTACAACCTTTCAATATTGACCGAAATCACATGAAAATACCGAAAGATTGAAACTAAGCTAGCGGAATCAGATGATTTTTATATATATATATATATATATATATATATATATATGTGTGTGTGTGTGTGTGTGTGTGTGTGTGTGTATAAATTTAAAAAGAAAACAGACCACTTTAAGGTACCATTATAATAATTTATTTCACCTTCACCAGAGTCCTTTTAAAGAACGCCGAATCATCAGCACTTCCAAAAAAAAAAAAAAAAAAAAACCAAAAACCTCAGGATTTCATCCTCTTTGGGATTACCCATACGGATTACTAAAGCTTCATAACTTAAATATATATGTATATATATACAAGGCTATTCCCTTCCCTGAATTGTGCACTGTCACTCATTGGCGTGTTTATTCACAGAATAAATATGTAAAATTCACCTTATATATATATATATATATATATATATATATATATATATATATATATATATATATATATATATGCTAATAGACTATATTTCAACCTCAGACAGACCGTTTCGACAGCTTCGACAGCTTATCAGTGCGGTTAACACCCGATTGCTTCAATCTGGGGTGGAAACCCGAGTGATTTAGCATCAAGCCATTGTGAATAAATACGCCAATGACTGAGAGAGCTCAATTCGGGGAAGGGAAGAGCCTTGTAATATTAGTAGTAATAGTCATTGTTTACAAATTCGCACTTATCTTCCAACTTTTTCGGGTGCGTACACACACACACACACACACACACACACATATATATATATATATATATATATATATATATATAATGATAAAAATCCGTCATTTTCAGTAGACTATAGATTATACTGAGTTTGCTTGCTACGCCCAGTTGTAGACACCTGCTCAGGCATATTTTTGTTTCCTCAGCACCTAAACAAACTGTTGTTTATACGGCAACTATGCTGAGTAAAAGTTAGTTTCAGTTTCCGAGAGTGAGCGTGTAATCTTGTGTGATCAACAGTTGAAAAAGTGACCATACCTACGAACCCTCGTCTACCTAATTTCACTCACAATTCTTGGGTCAATAAGTGGTATGTTTTTGAAGACCATTCCAAAGCTAGCCGATATTTCACAGAGGTCACGGCCTTGACAGCGACTATGGTGATTATGCTTGATAACGGGTTTTATAGTCGGAAAGCTATCATTCTAGCCACTCGACAATATGCCAAAAAATAATACTCCGGTAAATTCAGAACAAATTATAATACAAATAAAACCATATCCAATAAAAAAAAATCTCTATCTATAAAAGGCAGGATGTGTGTGTGTGTGTGTGTAACGAATGCACGGCCGCAATTTTCGATGGATTTGCACCAAAATTTACATGCACATGCTCCAAGTTAGCGGGATGGCCAAGACCGACGTTGCATTTCCCAACTCCCATCGATAGTGGAAATAATCATGCTTCTACGGCAGTTTTCATGTAGTTTGCGGCCATTTTGTACTGGCCAGATTGAGAGCCAATAGCTGACTGCCACGAATAGGCAGGAAGATTCTATTGGCCAGCGTGAGAGCCAACAGCTGACTGACACGAATGTTAACTAGCATGCAAAAAATCGATAGCTGCATTCGTCACAAGTGGGAAAAAATTAAATCTGCATGGCACTTTACTCCAATTGGCTCATTCGCTTGCTTAAACTCAACGTTGATTCTGATTCTGTAGAACTGGGTTGGGTGTGAAAAAGTAATTGTTGTTAACATTCTTTTTTCATACGGTTTTTCCTTTTTTAAAGCTGATCGTTTTGTGTTTATTTTGTTTAGTTCTTTTTTCGTAGCAGATTTAATGTTTAGTATAGAGCTTAGAAAAAATTTGCAGTGTGAGATAGGCAAGAAGTAAGGCATGTAGCAACATCAGCGCGGCAAAAGACACTCCTTTAAAGGCAAGGAAGGGCAAAAATATTTTAAGTCAAGTGATAGCGATTGCTGTATGAGTCGTACGATTTTTGAAACAAGCACGGGCAACGCCGGGCCATGCTGCTAGTATTCACTATATTTTTTAATATATTTCCTATCAGTACTTACTCTATTTATATTCGAACTATTGTCCTCGTCGTTGCTGAATGTTATCGCAGCGTTGTGTTTTTCGGCCTTTCTCAAACATTGTGATAACAACAGCAAGATGAGGTCAATAGTCCGAATATAAATAGTGTAAATAATAACTCCTTATCCCAGAATTCCACACAGAACTTTTTTATCCGTGTTCAACTTTGAGAAAAATGTTATTCAATAAATACGTATTTATCCTGCGAGATATCCTTGATATGGCCTCAAAATGACTGCCTGCCCGGATCACGTGGTTATCTTTCACGCTACTCATCACATCCACAATGGCGTTCTTCAACGCGTCCTTGGTATTAGGGGACGAGGGCTGGTATCCATTTCAATAACACACCAATTATACTTTCTCCATGAATTTCTGAGATGAGGAGATATCATTATTTGCTGTATTTAAAACCGAGTTAATATAATAATCCTTTTGCTATTATCACAAGGTTTCAGCCATTGTACATTTCGGTCTTCATCAGGTGCTTGTCGATCCTGGTAACCTTTAAAGAATTAGGTATTGAACACTTTATTTAAACTACGGGGGTAGATTGTTTTCTTTCGGATTACCATGTCTAGAGATAGCTCATCTATTTCTTATTTATTGACCAGTTACTACTCGTCCAAGTACGCTTTGCCTGGCGGAGGGATTGAACTCACAATATTTGTCACCAAATACAAGAACTAACGCATTAATCCACTAGAATATTGTACCACAGAGCGTTCAGATCAGGAAAGCTAGATGGCTACATGTTGTGGATGACACAATCGTTACAGTTGTTGGTTCCCCATACCTGGGTCACGTTGGCGTTATGGGATAGAATAATGTCCTACGAGAATACATACAACCTCCACTTGATCTGGAGCTTGAGCACCTTACCCATTATCTCGACGGGAGTGGTGCCATTGATTCTGACCCTTTCGAAAAGAACTATGTATTATCGATCACCCTCATTAATCCCTACTTCTCATAGACGACATGACGCGCAGCCATTAAGTGTTGTCCGAGCAGAGCCAACTGTTTTTTAATCATTTCACCCCAAGCAAAGTAATAAAGCCATTAAGACGAATACAGATTGTGAAAGAATATACGAAAAGATAGCGAGAACAATAAAAGAACAGGATCTAAGGCAGAAGATAACGATTGAGATTGCATTTAAATTTTTGAATGTTGAGTGGAAAGTATCTAGCCATTTCAACTGTAAAATGATGAGACTTGCCGCCAATCTAGTACTGCGCTTAAATTCATAAAATTGATCTACCATAGCGCAGAGTTCATCAAAACAGTTACCATGAAAGGATTTATAGAAAAGCTACATCACAACGGGAGGAGTAGTGGATAGCGGCTCGGATTGAGAAATCGGAGAGAGCCGAGTTCGAATTCCAGTCGAATCCGTTACATTCACTTACGTGCTAATACCCTTGGGAAAGGTATGAATCTTCTTCTTCTCTCCTGGGTAAATAGTAGATGGTCTAAATGGTGTAGAAAGAAATGGCAACCCACTGCGGGAAAAAATATGCCTCGTCAGTCATGTACAACAGTGGGGAAGTGATTGAAGCCGAGATAACAGGTCAGGACTAACATTACAGATTATTCTTTGGATTTTATCGAGGATCTCTAACTATATAGCAGGAGCTCCAGACCATATGTGGCAGCAATATTCAAGGCATGGACGAATGGTAGGCTATATAGAATATGTAAGATTGATTCGAACGAGAAAAAAAATGTCTAGTACGACACTGGAGCTATTGCCACAAACGTGGCTTCCTTTATCATTTCCTGTGTCAGAGATTGTAAGTTGCCATGTTAATCCTCTCGAGACATTCGTCGCATGCCACGTAACATTACATTAGGTCGTGGTGTTTCTGCGATTCGTTGAAGATGCGTTCTCGGATACCTGACGCAGACTGTAGACGGGCTGATGGAACGTTCTTAACCGTTCTTGTAAAAGCACAATACTTATTTAGGTAAGAGGGTCGGGGAATTTTCAGTGCTTCCTCGTCTGTAGAGGATATAGATATAAGTTTACTGATCTTACAATGAAAATGAGAATTTGTTTAAATTATTTAATTTGTTGTTCTATGATAATTATACGAGCCTTCGGACGTCCACAAATCACAACTCTGCATTATCTTAAGGCAGTCTAGATTAATTACCTCCAAACAATTAGTATTCTTTTATTCTATTAAGTCTGATTGATTCATGTAATTCGTTCAAGTTTTACATTCTAATTTATCTTGCTTCATTGTTTTGATCACTTCATCTATCTATCTATCTATGTTTAATCAAATCTATCCCAAACTGTTCATATTCATCTATCTATCTATCTATCTATCTATCTATCTATCTATCTATCTATCTATGTAGATGTCATTTTGTCGATATTTTGTTTTAATTTTTGTTTGTTTGTTTCTATCTATCTATCTATCTATCTATCTATCTATCTATCTTAATGTGTGCATTATCTATTTCAGTTTGTTCCTTAGTTATCTATCTATCTATCTATCTATCTATCTATCTATCTATCTATCTATCTATCTATCTATGTAGATATCAATTTGTCGACATTTTGTTTCTATTTTTGTTTTCTTTCTTTCTTTTTCCATCTATCTATCTATGTATTTATCTATCTATCTCCATTTTGTTTTTATTTTTATTTTCTATCAATCTATATTTTGTTTCTATTTTATTTTCCATCTATCTATCTATCTACATTTTGTTTTTATTTTATTTTCCATCTATCTATCTATCTATCTATCTATATATATATATTCATATCTATATATATATATATATATATATATATATATATTATTTTTATTTATTTTAACTTTTAATTTTTAGCATCCAACTTGTTTTCGCATATTCCATCTTGCTTTGATATTATAGAGGAATCATTTACACACACATGTGTATATATATATATATATATATATATATATATATATATATATATATATATCCTGTTTTATATTTTCATACTTTTGTTACGGCTTTTTCTAATATTAACAAACTTTTCGGTATTAGTATTTGTTTATTTATGTAGTATTTCGTAATATGTCTTGTGTTCTAGTGATTTTATTTACATAAACTTTTATATATTTGTTGTATAGAAGTGAAGTGTCGTTGCCGACACTGTAGTTTGAACATTGATCGCCAGCGAGCAACGACGGCGATTCCATTATTTAATTAAGTAGATCACGTGATCATAAAGAAAAGCAATACCTTTAAGATACATTGAAAATAGTCCTCGTGCGACAGCGCTCATTTTACCCAGGACCCATGGCTAAAATACTGTGGCCCAATCACACGGCCCTAGAACTCATCGAACTAAAGTTCAAATAAGTGCCTGCGTGTATGTATGCATGTAAGTTGTTGTTGAAAGAGAAATAGTTCCATTGTTAAATTTATGGATTCGAGCAAGAATTAGATAGTCCTTTTCAGATTGAAAGAAACCTAAAATAACTAGAGTATGTCGACACAAGAATATTAAGTTCATTATATATTGATTTTTCTAATTAAAAGTAATTATGTTCGGCGTATTTACTTAATTATTCTCTGTGACTCGTCTCGTCTTTTCTTTTCTTTCTTTGCCTTGTTAGTCATTAGATTTGTTTCATTTTTAACCCTTCATATCCATCACATACGCAGACATTTACGGGCATGCGCATGCAAAACGGAGCAACAAAGAACTTTAGTAAACAACACTACTGCACATGCGCGCGCCCCTGTACATATATGTAAACGAACACAAATGTAAGTACAAAACTGCTCCAATACGAAAAATTATAACAAATTATAACAAATCTTTCCAAACTCCTTTCTACATTTCTATAAGAAAACTGTACTGCCTTTCCTTCAACAAAACCATTAGCAACATACACACGCATACACAAATACGCAGGCACACGCATATATTTATTTAATATATAAATAATAACAAAAGCAAACAAAAAATGTGCTCAATAAGAAAAACAGAGCCTTTTTATATTATTTTATTATTATAGTATTGCATAATGAAATAATGATAATAATAATATATTATTTATTTATTTTTAAAAATTTATTATTCTTTACTTATCTTATAGTTTCTGGGAGTGAGCGTGTTATCTAGCGTGGTCAATAGTCTGAACAAGACAAGCAAGACCCTGACTTGTGACATCGTTGTAGGACTACCACCGTCATTCGCAAGACTTGGGTCAAATCATGGTATGGTTTTCCGGCACTTTTCAAAGGTGCTACATGCTGGGATCGGCAGACCGATAAAATCAAGAAGTCACCTTTCTGACAAATCGACCATGGTTAAATTCGAACCCAGGCCTCATTTTAGCGAAAGCGAACGTTCTAACTCCTCGACCAAGTGCTCTCTCTCATATATATATATATATATATATATATATATATATATATATATATATATATATATATATATATATATATATATATATATATATATATATATATATATATATATATATATATATATATATATATATATATATATATATATATATATATATATATATATATATATATATATATATATATATATATATATATATTGTGTTTTTGTTTTGATCCAAACCAGACTCATAAATAATTACATCGGCTACGCAACCACATGTTTATCCAGGCGTCTTACGTTACACCTATCTGATCACAGCTCCATCAGAACCCATTTAAATACACGCACAGATTTACCCGATTCCATTAGAAACACACTAGTATATATATTAACTGCATCCACTTGCAAAAAAGACTAAAAATAATGGAAGCTTTAATAATAAAAAAGGAAAAGCCAACTCTTAACAATATTAACTACGAACAAAGCCACGATGTGCTAACCGTATTCGGAAATTAAAAACATCCCTACCACACATTAAGATATACACAGAACGCACACACCCAATTAAGCTGAAAAATCGAATCATCCTTGATAATGGCTAAAGGTATAGCCGAAAGCGCTCGGAAATATAAAACATTCGGACAGTTCTTACACACCCTTTGTCCAGAAATGAAAGCTCTTGTCAGAACAGAAGAAAAAATTAAATAAAAAGCTTAACCGTAGTACCTTGTCTGTCGTTTTTAATGAAACATGAATAAAGGAAGGATTGCTGCCTATATATATATATATATATATATATATATATATATATATATATATATACACTAACCAATGAAAGAAAGGGCACATAGACAGTAGGCCTTAATGATCGCTCTGCATGCAAGGCGGATTAATGATTTTATCCTCGACCCTTTATACTGTTTCGTTGGTTAGTGTTACTACTTCTGCCTTAGTCTATTTGCTAGAGGCTTTGAGAACTTTGGCATATTGCCTAGGGAAGTACCTTTTTCTTCTCTTATTCCTTTTCTCTTTTACTTTTCAGTTTACTTTGTCTTCTTTGTCGTTAATTTTTGGTATTTGATTCCTTTTTGTTTTGTCATTTGATTTTACAAGCTTTCATCTCTGCATACAGATATCACCTGATGATGTCTAAAATAAAAAAAATAAAAAAAGACCTTATGCAACTGGAATTTATAAACAGGGATCATAACATTCATCTACATGTTCGGGGTTAATGTAATTTATTAAATTTGTTTTCGTAGATGGATTCTCGCCATTTATATCATTAACTTCAATATTTGTTTTTTGTATGAATGATTCATGTAATGTAAATTGAACTGCACCACAATATATATATATATATATATATATATATATATATATATATATATATATATGTATGTATTTATGTATGGCGATTGGCTAAAAAGAACTGACATCTTCCCTAACCACGTCGGTGAATAAATAAAATTAGCATTAAGATAATCTAGGAAAAAATTAACATGAGACTCCGCCCCTAAGGAAATAAAATAAATACACCGTGAACTTTTTCTATTGTAATCAGAGCACCCCGATTACAAACAGGATGAAAAAGCAATTACATAAAATAATTCACCGATACATATAACTAAACAACCTTAACAATCACTTAGTTTTTCTTACAATTTTATCACAGTTTTTTATTATTTGCTATAAAAAAGTTTAAAACCTCTAATTTAATTAACACCAACAGCACCAGCTCTCAAGAATCCCTTGTATGTAAAAAAATAATGTTGTCTATGAATTCTCATGACGCCTAGGAGATTGCATCTCCAACATTAATAATAAAAAAACAGCATTAAATACTTACACCGGGTACACACACACCACACTCGCAGATTGACCTGTCACCTGTCGAAACTCAGTGCAAGCCGTGCACAGCACATCATTAAAACGACTAAAATACACCTATGAGCATAAGATAAATATTAATAGACAATAACAAAATACTCGACAGCACCCAATGCAAGAAAGACGAAAAGACCTACACGTTATCTTTATACAAAATAAACAGGCCAGATTAAATAAAATATCATTCAGAAGAGACGTTATCTTGAAGTGCATATAATATAATATAATTAATGGTCGCATACATTATATTAATATAAGAAAAAATACAAATAAATAAAATATAATTGAAATGAAATAAATAAATCGCATTCTTTTTCGTGTGGCCTCGTTTCCAATAACAGTTACACATGACCTTCACTCGAGACTATTTCAAACTTCCAGCTTCTTATAGAATAACGTGATGTAGACAAAGGCATCCTAACTACTACAAAGGCACCCCATTGGTTCTTGATAATGACTGCGATGGTCGAAAGTGCCCGATCAAAATGAGAAAATTTGAATATCGGACTGTTTATCCATAACTTCGAGTACAATACTCAATACCATATTCATGGAAAAATACAATTTTTGCCTTCCTTTTTATGCGAGGAACCCACCCACAAAGGTTGTAAAAGTATTTTTGATACTCCTTACACACATACATACATATATACATACATACATACATATATACATATATATATATATATTTATTAAAGACATTTTTTTATGTTTAACGTTTTTTTATACATAAAAAATGTCTTTTAATAAATAAATTGTCGGACTTTGTCCATTTCTTAATATATATATATATATATATATATATATATATATATATATATATATATATATATATGCGTGTGTATAGTGACAATAAGAAGAGACCCCAATTCTAAGTTCTTTGACTTTAATTATCCATTTCGTTTATAATTTTATTTCATGAACAGCGAGGTGTTCAAATCATCAGAAAGAAATTTCCTCTGCTTTTAGGCAGGACAAGAAGGAAACGGTATTGGACGATGTAAAATATTACCCAATATTAAAATCTCAAAAGTATAGTGTAAATTCTCAACTGGGTGAATCGACTACTACTAACCACTAATCCCTTAGCCCTCTCTTTACCCATCCCTTCTCTCTCACCTTCGCTCCCCAC